CTTGAGAAATCAATTGCAGATGCGATGCACAAACATTACATGCAGGAAATCAAAACACCAAAAGGAGATCTTCCATCTCCTTGAAGCAACCTCCAAAGGTTGGTCTTGATGCAATGATGATGTCAAAGATGTATCTAAAAACAGTGAAAAAAATCATCCTTACAAAAAAAATAAGGAGGAATTTTCAAAAAAAACACCTTAATTAAGGAGAATTCCTCCGTAATTAAGGTGGAATTCCTTAATTAAGGAAAAATTCCTCCTTAATTAAGGGAATTCCTCCTTAATTAAGGTGGAATTCCTTAAAAAAAACTCCTTAAATTAAATAAGGAGGAATGGAAGTTCTGGGACTAGAAGGCAAGCGAGGTCCAGGTTTTGTGGATCGCGAAAATGCCCAGCCAGAAACCCACAAAAAGGCCGCATCGATTTGGGTTGAGATGGGTATTTGTTAGGATGTGTAAATAAAGTAATAATATCCCGGTAAGGCTACACATATAATACTATACCATGTTATTTTATTTAATTTGACATTAAGTTGCATTATGCTACATTATGAAATATTTTTCTATAACACACAACACATCACAAAACCATATCATTCTATATGACATCCCATGATGTTACCGGTCTGTTATATTGCATTATTATTATTTTTTATATATTTTTATTGCATTATAACTAAAACATATTGTGTATAAACATATTTTACCTATGATATTATATTATATTATATCGTATCAGATGATATTTTACCATATTATATTATACTATGCTATATTATATTATTTTATATTATAGAGGATCTTATATTACTTAATATTATATTATGTGATATATAATATATATTGTGATATTATAGCATAATATTTAGTATTATTATTATACCATATTGTATTATTATAGTTTATTATATTATATATCATAATATATTATCATTGACTATGTTTTATTTTATTGTATTTTATTTTATTATATTGTATTATTTTATATTAAAGTATATTATATTATGCTATATTATATTGTATTATATTATATTTTATTTTTTATATATGACATCCCATGATGTTATGATATATTGCATTATTTTCAATTGCATTATCACTAAAACATATTATGTAACAAATGTATAAACATATTTTACCTATGATAGTATATCGTACCAGATGATATTTTACAATATTATATGATACTATGCTATATTATATTAGTTTATATATATAGGATCTTTTATTATGTTTTAATTTATTATGAAATATATTATTTATTGTTATATTATAGCATAGCATTTTTTCATATATTATATTATATTATATATTATTTTATTGTATAATATTATATTATATTGTATTATATTCTATTTTATTTTATCATATTGTATTATATTATATTAAAATATATTATATTATACTATTTTATATCATATTTTTAATATGTGATATTGTATTTTATTATGCTATATATTTTTTTAGTGCTAGTCAATATATATATATATTGATTAATATATACATTATCAGTATCATGATAACTCAGAGCTATGCAACTGTTCCTTACTTATTTATTGTTATTATTTTATCAAGAACGCATACATGACTTTCAAAGTCCAGTTTTGTTGAATATGAAGTGCATTGCACATGTCATGTCCAAGCAAGATCAGTGGACTTTTATATATGTTGTTATTCTTTTTTTGCCACGCTACTGAAATTTCTCTTGAACTTTCCACGCGTACGTCATGCTACGCTACTGTAAGTTCTCTTGAACTTTCCACTCATGCCTAATACCACGCTACTGAAAGTTCTCTTGAAGTTTTCACGCATATGTTATGCTATGCTACTGTAAGTTCAATTGAACTGTAAGTTCTCTTGAACTTTCCACTCATGCGTCATGCTACGCTACTGTAAGTTCTCTTGAACATTCCATGCGTACGCCATGCTACGCTACTTTAAGTTCTCTTGAACTTTCCACTCATGCGTCATGCTAGGCTACGAAAAGTTCTCTTGAACTTTCCATGCGTATGTCATGCTACGCTACTGAAAGTTCTCTTGAACTTTCCATTTATGCGTCATGCTACGCTACTGTAAGTACTCTTGAACTTTCCATTCATGCGTCATGCTACGCTACTGTAAGTACTCTTGAACTTTCCATTCATGCGTCATGCTACGCTACTGTAAGTTTTCTAGAACTTTCCACGCATATGTCATGCTACGCTACTGTAAGTTCTCTTGAACTTTCCACTCATGCCTCATGCTACGCTACTTTAAGTTCTCTTGAACTTTCCACTCATGCATCATGCTAGGCTACTGTAAGTTCCCTTGAACTTTCCACTCATGCCTCATGCTACGCTACTGTAAGTTCTCTTGAACTCTCCATGCGTACGTCATGCTACGCTACTGTCAGATCTCTTGAACTTTCCATGCATGCGTCATGCTACTCTACTGTAAGATCTCTTGAACTTTCCATGCATGCGTCATGCTACGCTTGTAGGTTCTCTTGAAGTTTCCACTCATGCGTCATGCTACGCTACTGTTGGTACTCTTGAACTTTCCATTCGTGCGTCAAAAGATGACGCAAAACATGTCACGTCGAATTAGTTTCAGAATCGGCAAAAAACCAAAAATGTTAGTTTCGTCTAGGCGAAATGCCTGCTTTGAAAAACTGCACCAGAATAAGGGGTTAACGGCCTTAAATATCACATCAAACAAATTCCTATTTGCACGAGCGCATCAAATATGATCCATGACACCCCGTTGATCACAAAAAACCCACGGCCTTCTAGAGGCCGTGCTCCTAGTTAGTAGTTGTAGGCAAAACCCATCAAAACCCTGTTGGTTGATCAGGGTCATGCTGCCCCATCCCTGTGGAATTCCTGCGCCACAACCAGAAAGCCTCAGTTTGGCTGCGCCGAACACGGTTTCACTCCTCAAACCGGCACAGTAGCTGGAAACAAATCTTGAGACGCTTGGAGAGTGCTATTTGCCCCCTAAACTGGTAGCAAGATGTGGCAAGCTGAGTTGCATTGGCCTCTAAATTGGTTGCAACTCAAGACAGTTAGTGACAGCAGTGGCCCTGGTAGCCCTGAGCCAAATACCTGCTCAGCAATTCTGTGGGTTTTCAGTATCCAGCTTTCAAAAACCACAAAATCAACACAAAAAAATAGAGAAACCCACTAATTACATTAGCAACACAAAATCTAATCCTGATACACTGATTGCAAGTTTCCTGCTCCCCTGGAAAGTAACCAACCATTCGACCGGGAAAGAGCAACCAAACAACCATAAAAAGCCCTGTGCGTGGATACTGCCTGTGCTCCAATGCCTCCAAAACCCACGGGGTTTATCACTCTTCCAGGGAAATTTTCGCAAAAAGTCAAAAAACCAAAAAGCTTTCGACTTTTCGAATTTTTCGAATTTTCGAACTTTTCGACTTTTCGACTTTTCGATTTTTTCGAATTTTTCGATTTTTCGAGCCGAAATCTCCTGGCATGTGAACTTTTCGACTTTTCGACTTTTCATAGTGATTTTCACGGTGTGACCGATACCAGCCAGAAGAGCACACAGCAGGGGGGAATGACATTCCCTCCGGACCGCCTAGAACCCTTAGGCCCGGCGTTCCAACCCCTCACGGAAGTCACCTGCCAAGGCTGTCTAGACGGCGGTGACTCTTCCTAAAGGGATCCTCTGCGTCCCTGTACCTCCTCTGATGTTTCTTTCCTCCTCGTCGCTTCTTTCCTCTCTTTTCTCCGTGCTGTCGATGAGAATCTCGTGGATATCGAGGCTCAGCCGGCCTGTGGCTCCCCCTTCTCTCTCTTTCCTTATCCTTTTCTTCTACCTTCACTGGGGGCGTCTCGTGCCTGATCTTCTTCTTCACTCTCCTCACCTTCTGAATAAAGGCTTTCCGGGCTAGGTTCTCGCTCTCCTCTACATGGGGGTGCTGGCGGTGGAGGCGCACGAGGGATATAGGTGGGCGCTCGTCCCTGGGACTCCTTGACCTCGGACGCTCGGCCTTGCTCTTGGCTGCCGTCAAGAGGGCGCGACCCTCAGCGGAGCCTGAGCTAGATGCCAGCGAGGAGTCCAGGTTATACAAAGCTCGCACAAAACGTGCTCCAGACAGCGCCGCCTCCTCGGCCAATCCACGCAACCCAGGCAACCCCCACTTCTTTTTCAGGAAATCCTGGCTTACTTCCAAAGAAGAACAGCCAAGACACCAAGAGACCCCTGCAGGTTGTGTCCCTGAGCGACACTTGTTGCAAGGGGCCGCAAGCATTAAGAACTAAACTGAAGAGCCTAAAAGCGGAACAGGACAAAAAGGTGTGATGATTCGTCCAAAATGTCGATGCGACAGCTAGTGATATTCTATGATCATCTGTCTGTCTTTGGACAAGGAGATGATTACGGATGTGTACATTGTACGTTCATCTGTTCTTTCCGCAGCGATAATCATCATTCTTCTTGCGCTACATGCTACGAGTATCAGCAGGAAGCCACGGTTTTGAGTCAATATTATACCACATGTGTGTGCAGAATAAACCGCCATCTATAGTATCATAATAATATACATTTATATATATATATGTCTATATATATATTATATGTGTGTATTATATATATATATATGTATATATATATATTCAGACATATTCTAGCCATGACAAACCAAATTTCCAGACACAAATATATAAGACAATATCGGTAGCAGGCACTTTCAACCGAAACGAGGGACGGCTGTTCAGCTTCATCACCTGAGTCATGGCAATGGGAGCCATTGGATCTTCGCAACGTCACAATGGGAGTGCGGGCACTGATAGCAGACTCAAAATGGGCACTGGCGAAAAAGTAAATCACAAGCTCAGAACAATTCATAGCACAATGATCCAAGATGACCCGAGGCAATTTCAAGTCATTCGGACCAAGCAAGAATCCAGAAACATCAAGAAACATCATCAATGATCCAGAATGACTCAAAACCATCAAATTGTATCAAATTGCCATGTTTGGTGGAAGGAAGGTGGATGGTTTAAGCACTGGCGCCCTCAGGACACTGAATCATGGCTCAGCAAGAGCAATTGATCTAACGACACACGCGCAATCGCCGCACCAAACGCTTCGACCAACTCAGACACTTCCCACTTGCGCGCAGTGTACAAGGTAGCAGCTTGTGATGAGCAGTGCCAACTTCAGAATCTCTAAGGACCCGTCAGTGAAGCGGTGAAACTGCAAGGACTTCGCGCACTGCACACGACGCCAAATCCCAATTTCGAGGACATAACAGGACATATGTTTTAATATCCTTAAATGCTATGCAATGTGCCCCATTGCTTTGGCTGACCCTTTGTTCAGCGGAGCACATGTGCAAGTCTTCAAACACTACGAGCATTGCAGGGAAGGCTTCTACCCTGCAGTACGCAGGAGGAAGATTAAAGCATTAAAAATAAAACGTAAACAATCCCATAGTAACTATATCATACTATATCTGTCCTTCGGGCAACCGGCGCAGAATGGCAAATTTGGCTTGATGCAGAATGCTAAGAGCATGCACCAAAAGGCCGCCCTTGATGCATGCCTTTGCGATGTGATGCAGCGGCAGTCAAAATCATTGCAGCGAAACAAATCACATGCGATACGAACACTGAAATCTACTTCTGACGCCGGGACACATTGATGGCAGCTCTGCAAGTCACTTCATTGGCTTTCGGTAGGGTCGGCAAGCTAGTCAACCACCTGTCCAAAAAGCTCAGAGCCCAGTTCCTTGGGCATGGGCAGGCAAGCATGCTCAAGCATGTCTGTGTCCAGTTGACCCTGGGCTCCTTTGCAAAGAGGCTCCCTGTATCTGTTGTTTATACTTTACTGATCCATTTGATAAGCTTCCTCTTGCCCCCACACTCTCATTGGGCAGGGAAAAGTCAATTATCTCAATTTAGGTCTAGTGTTGCCCCTCAAGATTCTACATAACTCATCTCTGTCTGGGCAAATTCATCCCGCAATCATGTCTTGATCTACAGTTTGTTCACTTTGTCTTGCACCTTCAAATCCAGCTAAAACAGCGCAAAATGCGCACATTTGCTTGTACTATTCTGCACACTTCCCCGTTACACATCGTTACACTGTGTATATATATAAAAATAAATATAGGCATTGAATTTCAACTGAATGGCGCTCAGCCTCCATCGCTCGCCTTTGTCGCAAGCACTGATTGCAGAGCTGCAAGTAACCGCAGTAGGCGTCAACTTTGCCCGCGGCATCACGTCAAGCAGTTTGAGAGCCGCCTGCCAGCATCCACAAACTTCACATGCACTGATAGCAGAGTTGAAGCTGATGACCTTAGGCTCAAGGGAACTTGGGAGGAAATGGCGCTAGGGAGAACCCGAAGCTCGTTGAGTACTGGCAGGCTGTCTTTATCAACTGTGACGCGCCTACTCGGAGCAAAAACTCCAAAGCTGCTCATGAATGCTTTCGATAGCTTGCATTGGGCTGTTGTGTTTGGGCTGTTTCGAGTCTTTAAAAGAGCCATGCGAGTTGCAGTGCTCGTTCTTTCATTCTGATAGCTTGCAGCCTGCAAGATCTCTCCCTCACAATGCAGCCCAGGATCACTGGGCCTCAAAAATGCAAAGGGCAAGCCACAGCGAAGCACATTCAGTGCTCGCAGCCATTGGCCGCCCTTTTCACATGCACTGATGGCTGAGTTGAAACTAATTACCTCAGTGGCCGTGGCCAATGCCTGGCCACAACAGGCAACAAATTCCTTCTATGCTTGTGCCATGCGCACCCAACAATGGGCATCTAGAATCCGACGGAAAAATGGCACTGCCATGTGACTAGGAATACTATGACATGATGAAATGTGACATTGAATAATTATCAATATTATTGGGTATCTAATGCATCTATATGTGGGAGTTGACCGAATGCACACCTGCCGGTACACCCACGATGCAACACAACACAAAACTACACAAAACAATACACAACACAACCCAACGCAACACGACGCAACACGACACGACCCCGCCCAACCCAACCCAACCTGACACACAACACAGCACACAGCAACACTCTTGACAAAAGCACACTGCATTGCATCACATCACATAAAATCACACGTTCCATGGCATTGCATGAAGCTGCATACTCATACGTATTATATGATTATGCATATGATTGCATGTGTGCAAATGTATGCATATGTGTACATCTCGCTCCGCCTCTTTGTATATGTGACCTCCGCATAGTGATGTACATTTTTTGCCAGGGCTTCTCAAAGGATTCTTCCCACCACAATGTACAAAGATTACACAGCATATTCAGGCACATCAATGCAAACTGTTTGACTTGCTTGCAACGGCTGAAAGCGCAAACAGGCCACGATTCGCTCAACCTTCGCATTCACCATACCCTTGAGAAGTTGGATAGCAGTACCCCACTGCTCACCCTTCTCACAAGCACTGATGGACGAGTCAAAAGTGATGAAGTCCGGTGCAACTACAGCACAGCTCATGCAACCTTGGAGGCATGGCTTGGGGCAGAGGCCTGCAGCATGTAACACGCAAGAAAATTTGAAACGAAACAGCCAAGTCCTAGCCGAAATGAACGCAATTGGTACTCTTGTGATCTGTTGTCCACGTGTGGTCTTATCATGATTCACCGCATTTCACCGCGAACAAGTTACTGACACTCTGCCTATTTTTGGCCGTGGCTCCGAGTGTTTGGACGGCAAAGTGCCAGCGTCCAGCTTTTTCACAAGCACTGATTGCGGCATTGAAGCTGACGTCAATCCTTTCGACTTTGTCTCGGCACATGGAGTGCAACAAGTGGATTCCAAGCTGCCACTGTCCTGCCTTTTCACCAGAGCTGATGTACGCATCGTAGGTGATCGTGTTTGGAAAAACGGCGACTTCGCGGGAAGAATGGAAAACAAATGATGCCAGTTGCCATTCACCCCCCTTCTCGCATGCAGAAATTGCGCTGCCACAACTGACAACCGTTGGTGAAAGCTCGGCCCGTTGGCAGGACTCCAGCAAGCAGAGAGCAACTTTCCAGCGAGTAGCACTTGCACATGCATTCATGGTGCTATTGTAGATGATGATGTTGTGCCTGAGTTGCAAAGAAATTACCCTGCTTGGTGTCTTGAGTGTGTACGCTGACCAGCTCTGCGGAAAATCATGTCATAATGGAAAGAGTCTCCAAATGTCTCAAGCATCGAACAAATTCAAGTGTTCATCCCTCCCAGCCTCAAACGGTCCTTGGAGGACAATTCAAGAAGTCGCACAGCACGCTCCCAATTAGAGCCTTCACACGCCGCAATGGCACTACTGAAGCTGATGATAGTTCGCTCTAGCCTGTTGTCTGACATGGACGACCTTGGCTTGGAAATGCTGATCATCACACCAGGGGTGGCGGCTTTGAAGGCTTTCGGTGTGCAACTGGGGCTATTTGTCATGTGACTCTATGACACCATGACGCTAAGTAGCTGTTTGAAATCCCTGAAGTGATTTGAAGCTGAAGAATGGATTGGAATACATCACCTCCTCAAAGCTTGGTCATCAGAGACTCAGACTCAGCTTTGGTCACTCTGCGATTTCCTGCCTGCTTCAATTAGAGCAGCACGGAAGTTGTCCCCAGCCGCTAAGCCCTTGTCCCATTGGTTTCAACATGCTCAGCAGTTTCTACAGTGCCGGTAGCAAGATTTGAAGTTCATTGAGACATTTCCATATATTCCTAATCCACCGCCAAGCTTCAGCAAATTCAACGCAGATTGCCACATTTCAGTGGTGGCACAAGCATTCATAGCTGCGTTGTAGTGGAAGGTGGAGGTCTCAGCTGCGCCTATAAGCCATCAACAGCCATCGTGAAGTTTGAAGAACTAAGTTTATACATATATATATATATCTGTGTCTGTGTGTGTGTGGTATTTATTTATAATCCGCCGGCCTGCCGGCGTGTCTGATTGTAAGGTGTTGTTCTTGTGTCTGTTCTTGTTTTGTACTTGTTTCTGTTCTTGGCTTGCACTTGTTCCTTTGTTCTCTTCCCGCGCGTTTTTGCTTCGTCTGAATCAAAGTCACCCCCCCCACCCCCCCTCCTACTACTACTACTACTACTAACTACCTACTACCTACTACCTACTACCTACTACCTACTACCTACTACCTACTACCTACTACCTACTACCTACTACCTACTATCTACTAACTACTATCTACTATCTACTATCTACTATCTACTATCTACTATCTACTATCTACTACCTACTACCTACTATCTACTATCTACTATCTACTACCTACTACCTACTACCTACTACCTACTACCTACTACCTACTATCTACTATCTACTATCTACTATCTACTATCTACTATCTACTATCTATCTACTATCTACTACTATCTACTACTATCTACTACTATCTACTACTATCTACTACTATCTACTACCATCTACTACTATCTACTACTATCTACCTACTATCTACCTACTATCTGCCTACTACTATCTACTACTATCTACTACTATCTACTACTATCTACTACTATCTACTACCATCTACTACTATCTACTACTATCTACTACCATCTACTACCATCTACTACCATCTACTACTATCTGCTACCATCTACTACTATCTACTACTATCTACTACTATCTACTACTATCTACTACTATCTACTACTATCTACTACCATCTACTACTATCTACCTACTATCTACCTACTATCTGCCTACTACTATCTACTACCATCTACTACTATCTACTACTATCTACTACCTACTACCTACTATCTACTATCTACTACTATCTACTACCATCTACTACTATCTACTACTATCTACTACAATCTACTACCATCTACTACTATCTACTACTATCTACTACCATCTACTACTATCTACTACTATCTACTACTATCTACTACTACCTACTACTATCTACTACTATCTACTACTATCTACTACTATCTACTACTACTTGAGAGGGGGAACACGAAAGGTAGGTGAGCAAGAAAGGAACCGAAGAAAAAAGAAAGGAGAGAGGGCAAGGAAAAAAACATGAAGTGGAGTCTGGTAAAAGCGACGCGGCCTTTTTCTCTCTAGAAATATAAAGTGGAGTCTGGTAAAAGCGACGGAAAGGCTTCGGCGGTGTGGTTGGGGTTGGCGGTGGTTGTGGTGTTGGTAGTGTTGGTGGTGCTGGTGGTGTTGGTGTTGTTGGTGTTGTTAATGCTGGTGTTGTTGGTGTTGGTAGTGTTGTTGGTATTGTTAGTGTTGCTGGTGTGGCTGGGTTTGTTGGTGTTGTTGGTCGTGTTGTTGGTGTTGGCGTTGTTGGTGTTGTTGTTGTTGTTGCTGTTGTTGTTGTTGTTGATGCTGTGGTTGTCGTTGCGTTGTTGTTGTTGTTGTGGTTGTTGGTGTTGGTGTTGTTCTTGTGGTTGTGATTGTGGTTGTTGTGGTTGTTGTGGTTGTTGTGGTTGTTGTGGTTGTTGTGGTTGTTGTGGTTGTTGTGGTGTGTTGTGTGTTGTGTTCTATGTTGTGCGTTGTGTTCTATGTTGTGTGTTGTGTGTTGTGCGTTGTGTGTTGTGTGTTGTGTGTTGTGTGTTGTGTTGTGTGTTATGTGTTGTGTGTTATGTGTTGTGTGTTGTGTGTTGTGTGTTGTGTGTTGTGTGTTGTCTGTTGTCTGTTGTGTGTGTTGTGTGTTGTGTGTTGTGTGTTGTGTGTTGTTGTGTGTTGTTGTGTGTTGTTGTGTGTTGTTGTGTGTTGTTGTGTGTTGTGGTGTGTTGTGGTGTGTTGTGGTGTGTTGTGGTGTGTTGTTGTGTGTTGTTGTGTGTTGTTGTGTGTTGTTGTGTGTTGTTGTGTGTTGTTGTGTGTGTTGTGGTGTGTTGTGGTGTGTTGTTGTGTGTTGTTTGTGTTGTTGTTTGTGTTGTTGTTTGTGTTGTTGTTTGTGTTGTTGTTTGTGTTGTTGTTTGTGTTGTTGTGTGTTGTTGTGTGTTGTTGTGTGTTGTTGTGTGTTGTTGTTGTTGTTGTTGTTGTTGTTGTTGTTGTGTTGTTGTTGTTGTTGTTGTTGTTGTTGTTGTTGTTGTTGTGTGTTGTTGTGTGGTGTTGTGTGTTGTTGTGTGTTGTTGTGTGTTGTTGTGTGTTGTTGTGTGTTGTTGTGTGTTGTTGTGTGTTGTTGTGTGTTCCTGTGTGTTCCTGTGTGTTCCTGTGTGTTCCTGTGTGTTCCTGTGTGTTCCTGTGTGTTCCTGTGTGTTCCTGTGTGTTCCTGTGTGTTCCTGTGTGTTGCTGTGTGTTGCTGTGGGTTGCTGTGCGTTGCTGTGTGTTGCTGTGTGTTGCGCGCGTTGCGCGCGTTGTGCGGGTTGCGTGGTGTTGCGTGGTGTTGCGTGGTGTTGCGTGGTGTTGCGTAGTGTTGCGTGGTGTTGCGTGGTGTTGCGTGGTGTTGCGTGGTGTTGTGTGGTGTTGCGTAGTGTTGCGTGGTGTTGCGTGGTGTTGCGTGGTGTTGCGTGGTGTTGCGTGGTGTTGCGTGTTGCGTAATGCGTGTTGTTGTTGTTGTTGGTGGTGGTGGTGGTGGTGGGGTGGTGGTAGTGGCGTTGGTGTTGGTGTTGGTGTTTGTGTTGGTGTTACCCCTGCAGCGTTTTTTCTCGGTTCCGTAGTGGCCGAGAATCGTCAAATATGTGGTGTTTTCGCGTGTTTTTGCAACTCGCTGGTTGTTGTGTGTTGTTGTGTGTTGTTGTGTGTTGTTGTGTGTTGTTGTGTGTTGTTGTGTGTTGTTGTGTGTTGTTGTTTGTTGTTGTGTGTTGTTGTGTGTTGTTGTGTGTTGTTGTGTGTTGTTGTGTGTTGTTGTGTGTTTTTGTGTGTTGTTGTTTGTTGTTGTGTGTTGTTGTGTTTTGTTGTGTGTTGTTGTGTGTTGTTGTGTGTTGTTATTGTTATGGTTGTCATCCGTTGTTGTTGTAGTTGTTGTGGTTGTTGTGGTTGTTGTGGTTGTTGTGGTTTTTGTGGTTGTTGTGTGTTGTGTTGTGTGATGTGCGTTGTGCGTTGTGCGTTGTGCGTTGTGCTTTGTGCGTTGTGGTTGTGCGTTGTGCGTTGGTGTTGGTGTTGTTGTTGTTGTTGTTGTCGTCGTCGTTGTTGTTGTTGTTGCTGTTGCTGTTGGTGTTGTTCTTGTCGGTGTTGGTGTTACCCCTGCAGCGTTTTTGCTCGGTTCCGTAGTGGCCGAAAATCGTCAAATCGGTGGTGTTTTCGCGTGTTTTTGCATCGCTCGGAGCAAACAACACCGTAAATACCAATGTTTTTGGCGGGTCGGAAGCCCAAAACCACGGTATTTACGATGTTTTTTGCCTCTGGTAGTAAAAAGCACGGTATTTACAGTGTTTTTTGGCCAGCACCTAGCAAAAACACTGGTATTTACGGAGGTTTCACCATGTAACAAAATGTGGTTTCTTGATCCGAAAAGAACAAAAATACTGTAAATTACAGTATTTTGAGTCTGCTCTTAGGGTGCGTGGGAGGTGTGGAGGGGGGGGGTACTAAAATGACTAGCAATCTCCTGAAGAATCAGGTAACGGGGCTGGCCGCCCTCCCCTTTACTTCGTAAAGTAAAACTCAAGGTAGCCCCTCTGGAGCTACCTTTCGTGACAATTTTTGTCAAAAAATTGGCAAAAAAGGTCCAATTTTCCCAAAAAAATGGGGAAATAGGACTACGATCCCAGACAATTTAATTGTTTGTGTATACAAATATATATATATATAGATATATATATGTATCAATTATTTATTGATATATATGTATATATACATTTTTTTCAGGGGGCTCAAGTTTGCGAGCACCATCTTATTGCAATTACCATATATATATATAATTTATATATATATATATATATATATATGTATCAATCATTTATTGATATATATATATATATATACATGCCTTGCACGGTTTCCAGAGCAGCTACACCGTCACCGTCGCTGAGTTCCAATCGCCCTCTGGGACTTCCAGCACAATATGCCCGAACCGAATTTGGCTTGTATGGTGTTTTCTGCTGCTAATCAACTGGGGGTGCCTTCAAAGTATCGCCAAAGCTTGTGCCACTGCCTGCAAAAGATCACATGTGCTGTTTTGATTCCGTGTAATGTTCAATCGTCATTCGCATGTATGCTGTTAGTGAAAAGCGGCACGTCGCAGCAATATGCCCTAACCGAATTTGGCTTGTATGGTGTTTTCTGCTGCTAATCAACTGGGGTGCCTTCAAAGTATCGCCAAAGCTTATGCCACTGCCTGCAAAAGATCGCATGTGCTGTTTTGATTCCGTACGATGTTTAATCGTTATGGAAATGACCACCAACGATCAAAGCTTGCAACGGAACCTGGAGCCGGTTAGTCTGCTCGCAGTGGCCTTGCCCAGTTGGATGCAATTTCAAAGTGTTGATGGCAGCAAGTCCGGAAAGTGTCCTTTGGGAATGCTTTGATGACAAATGATAGCCTGATTTTCTTCAGGGCTCAAGTTTGCGAGTCACCATCTTATTACAATCACATATATATATATATATAATTTATATACAATATATATATATATAATTTATATACAAATATATATATATATGTATCAATCATTTATTGATATATATATATATATACATGCCTTGCACGGTTTCCAGAGCAGCTACACCGTCACCGTCGCTGAGTTCCAATCGCCCTCTGGGACTTCCTTCAGGGGTGGATGGGAACAACCTCACCAAGCTGGTACGGCTGTCTTACAATGACTGAAGTCTTTGTAGTGCAAGTGTGAATCAAATCCAAAGTCACTTTTTGTTCTCGAACAAAGCTTGAAGTGGTAGTGCATTCACCTTGAA